GGGTTTGGAGCAAATAAAGGCCTCCGAGGGAACTTTCCGTTGCTGCTTGAAGGGTGGAGCGGAGGGGTGGGAGGCACTGGCCCCAGGGGCGGATGGGCCAGGGGGCTGCCTGGCTGGCACGCAGAGGGGCACCACCGTGGCCCCAGGGGGCTTTGGAGGGCGGCTCCACCACTCGGGCCTGCTGCCACCCACCTTCACGCAGCGCCCGAGTTAGAGAAGGTTTCACTCTACGCCTGGCACCAGCAGCAGCCGGTTCACACATCGCACCAGGCTTTTGTGTGTGTGTGTCCTTTTCTCTCGCTTGGCTTGTTGCGTGAATCCCTGCCTGGACTGAGGCACACCACCTCTTTCTGGACCCCTCACTCATTCTCTCCGGCTCTTCCCATTCAGTAGGTTGGGGAAGGGGAGGGGGAGTAGAGCTGCCTCCCCTTCCTCAGGGACACTTCCGGCCTGCCTTGGTGGGGCAGCCGAGGCCAATGGGGGGGGCGGGGGGGGGCAACAGAGCTTGCTCTTCCCTGCTTTGTCCCTGGGAAGCTGCTGGAGGAGGTCACCAGCTGATTGCGGGGTGATGTCAGTGTGCAGATGAGGCCCCATGGTGCATTCCCCAGCCCTCCCCCGCCGGCTGTCTGACTGGGCGAGGATTGACCGAGCTGGCTGGGGAATTCTGGGATGGCCACTGATCCAGGAGAGACGCCCTAACAGGGAGGACAATTCACCAGTGGGACAGAAGTTGCCCCCAGAAGTCGTGGGTGATCCATCCCTGGAGGTTTTCAAGAAGAGGCTGGGCAGCTTCTGGTCTGAAGTGGTTATAGGGTCTGCTGCCTAAGCAGGGGGGTTGGACTAGAAGACCTCCCGAGGTCCCGAAAAGCTCTATTTTGATTCTGAAGTCGGCAAGTCTTAAAAGTTGCCAAGATTGGAGCCCCCTCCCGGTCGGTGCAGTTAATTTCGCTTCTCTCTAATCCGGTGTGTGTGTGTGTGTGTGTGTGTGTGTGTGTGTGTGTGTGAATCCTGCCGAGGGTGTCCCCGTTTCCCCTCTTCCCTGTTCAAATCAAGAGACGCTGGCAGGATACAAGCTCCAAAAAAGGCCACGTTGTTGGGGAGGAAAAGCCAACGACCCAATGGGAAGCCGCCTCTGCGACCGCCTGCCGGTCCGGGGAGCCGCATTCAGTGGGGCGCCGATCTTCGGGGGGGGGAAGGGGGGAGGAACGACCCAGCGCCCCCCCCCCCCCAGCCTCCCCTCCCCTTGGGACAACCAGATTTCCACCCATGGTCCAAACCGGGGCCTCCCATCATCCCCCGCCGGAGTTTCCCGGAGAGAAGCCAGCCATGGGGGGGGGGCAAGACCCCCCCCGCGGAGAGCCACCCCCTCCCCGCAAAAGGGAGGAAGCTCCGCGGGGCTTGGGGAGGGGAGGCCGGGCAGGGGGAGAAGCCCCCCAGCCGGCCAGGGCGGAGGGCGAGGCGGAGAGCCAAAGCCCGCCCCCCCCCGCCCCCCAACAGCCCTGCGGGGGAGACCAGCGGGGAAGCCGCGCCCGCCCCGCCCCAGGGGAGGAGGCCCCGCCCACGCCCGTCGGAGCAACGCGGCGGCGGCCAATCGCTGGGCGCGCGCGCCGCCATTGGGCAGATCGAACGCGAGGGGCCCTCCGATTGGCTGCGCCGCGGCAGCTTTGCAACATTCAAACTCGCGCAGCGGCCGCCGCCGGCGAGGAGGAGGAAACAGCAGCGCTGCGCTCGCCATGGCCTCGCAGAACGACGACCCCGGCGCCGTCGCCCGCGCCCCCAGCAAGGCTGCCGAACCCGGCGGGGGCGCCGCCCGGGGCTCCGTGCGCAGCAGGTGGGGCTGGCTGGGGGGCCGGCGGGCACGGGCGGAGCCTCCTCGGGGCCGGCCGGGGAGCCGCTGCCGGCGCTAACCGCTCTCTTTCTCGCCCCGCAGGCTGCAGCAGGAGCTGATGACGCTGATGGTGAGTCTCCCGGGGGCGCCGGGCGGGTGGGGGGCGAGGGGGGGGTTCGCGCTCCCGGGCCCTCCTTCCGGGCCGCCTCTGACCCCCCCGCGCGGTGTTGAACCTCGCAGATGTCCGGAGACCACGGCATCTCCGCCTTCCCGGAGTCGGACAATCTCTTCAAGTGGATCGGGACCATCAACGGCGTGGCTGGGACGGTGAGCGGGCCGAGGAGGGAAGGGAGGCGGCGTTGGGCCCCGCAGGGTTCGCCTGGGGATCCTCTTCCCCCTGCCCTGAGCAGGGGGTTGGACTAGAGGACCTCCGAGGTCCCTTCCAACTCTCTTATTCTGTTATCCTTCAAACCCCCACCCATCCCGGCAGCCTTTAACGCTCCGCAAACACCCAGGCGCAGCCCCCGTTGCCCAGCGCTGCAGTTGACCAGGAAACGCTCCGAGGCGTGGAAGGGAGCGCAGCCCCTCTGCCCCACCCCGCTGGCAGGCCCACGGGAGTAGGGGGGCTTTCCTGATGCCTCCCTGGGAATCCCTTGTGGTCATCGGGAGTTCCTGGGGGGGGGGAGAAGCCTCCTTCCTTTGTCCAGCCAGGGCCCTCTCTGGCTGTTGGGGGAGGGGTTTCTGGGCAGGTTTTCCCCTCCCCCAGTTTGCAGTAATGAGACCCCCCCCCAAAGCCGGGGTCTCCCACCTTGGCAACTTTAAGACTTGTGGAATTCTGGGAGTTGAAATCCACAAGCCTTAAAGTTGCCAAGGTGGGAGACCCCCTGCCCCAAAGAATCCCTGGGTGGTGCTTCCTACCAGAAGATCGGGGACAGTGGGCTTCCAAGCGGAAGAGAAGTGGGGAAGAGCCAGGCAGGAGGAAAAGGGGGAGGCCCTGCCTGACCTTTCCCCCCCTCCCCTCCCTTTGCCGAAGCAGGTCTACGAGGAGCTGAGGTACAAGCTCTCCTTGGAATTCCCCAGCGGCTACCCCTACAACGCTCCCACCGTCAAGTTCCTCACCCCTTGCTACCACCCCAACGTGGACCTGCAGGGCAACATCTGCTTGGACATCCTGAAGGACAAGTGGTCGGCTCTCTACGACGTCCGGACCATCTTGCTCTCCATCCAGAGCTTGCTGGGAGGTGAGGAGGAAGAGCGTCCTGGGACGGGGGGGGGGCGGCTGTGGGATCCCCAGGGGAGCTTCTGAGCTGCACCCCGTGGAGTGGAAAGGGGGGGGATGCCACCCCGGGGCTTCCATTGCCTGGAAGGGCGTTCCGTGCAGAAGGGCCGTGCCCCTGAGCCTGTGCCGGGGCCATGCCAAGTATGCCCGCCCTCCCTCCCTGGCAGAGCAGGGTCCCACAGTGGCAGGGAAGAGAATTGGATCGTTTTTCCTTCTCTGCCCCTTCAGAGCCAAACGTGGAAAGTCCTTTGAATACAGAGGCTGCCGAGCTGTGGAAGAACCAAGCAGGTGAGTCGACCAAGGTTTGTTTGTTTGGGGGGGGGGGGGGGTGAAAGCACCAGGCTAGAAACCAGGAGGGGGTGGGGAGTTCTAGTCCTGCCCTATGTAGGAACACCCGTTGGGTGACCGTGGGCCAATCCCCAGGAGACGCCGGGTTCTAGTTGTGCGTTAGAAGGAAAGCGCCAAAGGGGCTGCTTTCAGGAGGCTCCCTGGTTTCCAGATGTTTTCGCTTCTCATCCAAGAAGCTTCTTCGGGTCTGACAGGATGGCGGGGAGGGGAGGAGGATGGCAGACACTTAGAAGGTTACAGTCTTAGAAGATTGTACACCCTTAGTGGCACTTAGAAGGAAAGGCAGCTGGGTCGCTTTGGGCCAAAC